GAAGAAGAAGAAGAAGAAGAAGAAGAAGAAGAAGAAGAAGAAGAAGAAGAAGAAGAAGAAGAAGAAGAAGAAGAAGAAGAAGAAATAGAAGTAGAAGTAGAAGAAGACGAAGAAGCAGCAGCAGCAGCTTATTTTAAATCGTATACTACAGTATGTGTTCTCCTTGAAGACCAGGTTTAATTTTGCACATGTCGATCCATATAAGATGAAACTTTTTATTTAAAATAGATGACTATATCTAATCTAATACAGTGATGGGGATAATGCATGTTTCTGATATCTATTTAGGTAGAAAGTACAAATATAATTGCTTCACTAGTGGTAGAATCCTTTTCTTGCTGAGACTTTGAAAAAGGATACAGAAGAGTTATTAAGCAATAATCAATTGTCATCAATGAAAATAATATGTTCAATATATGTCTCTTCGTGTATATGTGTGTACTTGTGTGTATTATTGAAGAAAAGTTCAATAGTTCGGAAGCAAGAGAAAGTCATGATGGAGTTCGTACTGCAGGGAATTAAATTTTGTGTGTGTGAGAGAGAGCAATGTTCTATTTGGAACATGGTTCCTAAGAAACCACTATAGCCTTCTCTATCTCATCCTGGAGGACTGTGAAAACATAGAGATAGGAGATTTGTACCTTATGGATATGATTTTTGATTTATGATCCTTGGACAAGATTTTTGTGGATATCAGTAGCTCTAGACTATCATTCTACAACAGGCCTGCTATATATATATATATTTTTTTTACAGGTGAGAGATTCTCTTCAGATCATTATCTGCCTAATTTACAACTACGCTGTCCTAGCATCTGTTAGCTGATTTACAACCAAGCTAATAAAGCCATTGGAAATATGCTAATTGCTTCCTGCTTGTCTGGCATTCAGTCTAATGCAGGACTGATCAGCACAAGCCCCTCTGGCTCAATAGCATTAGTAATAGGCACCAATATAGCTTCACTGAGAGAAAGAAGTGCTTTTTTTTTGACAAGACATGAGCTTGGCCTAGTGCTATGAAATGTCTAATAGAGCTTGGGAATGTGAAGACTGGTGCACAGCTGTTAGAGGAGAAAACCAGGGATGTTACAGGAAAGATTCCTGAGTTACAGGTAGTTAGGGAGAATTGTGAGAAAGGGACTGAAAGTAATACTGCTTTAATTATGCTAGGTATATGTTGAACTGGAGAACAGCCTTGGCAGGCTTTCAATATTCTGTTATACTACCTTACTAGCAATAAAGATATTTCCAGAAATCCAAATAGTTCTGGTTTTTCGCGCTTGCCAGTGTCACAGTCTTGATAGTGAATGTGCCTCGGAGGAATTTTATTTATTTATCTGTTTATTTCAAACTAAGACACTGTCTGACTCCAATTGACTCTGGGCTGACCACATAATTCTAACAGCCTTCTTGGAGGAAAGAAGACTCCTGAGGGTGAGAAAACAATATTTGCAAAAGGTTCCTGTCATATGGTCAGTCCTGCGCGTGATTAAGCAGCAGAATTAGAGAAAAGTGGAGGAACAATATATGTAACGGTCTACTGCACTATGTCTTAATCTTTGGTTGTTCATACAATGTATGGAACCAATGATTCGGAAATATTTTTTCTCTGTTTGGAGTTGGAAAGCTTTGAACCCTTAATATTAAATTTAAGATTGATAAGAGCAATTCAGCAGAGACATGAGGAAAATGTGTGGGTGGTAGTATAATTGAGGAGTACCCGATTCCTGGGCCACAGCCCACTACCAGACCGCGGGCTGTTTGAAACCGGGCCATCAGAGAGATGGGCAAGTGTATGCACATGAAGCTCCCCTTGTGGGAGTGGAGGGCGCTTGCATGTGCATGCAAATCTCCACTCACTTGAGTGAAGGACATTTGCGTCCATTTGTGTGAGTGGAGCTTCATGTGTAAGCACAAGCGCCCTCCACTCAAACGTCCTCTACTTGAGTGCAAGTGATTGATGCTCACATGAGTGGAGTTTCATGTGTGAATACAAACATCTTCCACTCACATGCAAAGCTCCATTTGTGCAAGTGGAGGGTACGTGCATGTGTGCCTGCCACTCAGATGCTCCCTTTTCCCATGCGCCAGGCTGAGAAGGTTGGTGACCATTGGTCTTGTTGATTGCTCTCTTGAAGAAGTAAGGAAGCCACAAGATAATTTGTGATGCTTTTATCAACTGTCTGTCCGTCCGTCCATCCATCCATCCATCCATCCATCCATCCATCCATCCATCCATCCATCCATCCATCCATCCACCTTACTCTGGATGGTTTACAGAAAAAGTTAGAGACATTCTAATATGATATACTAGATGTTAGGCTTGCAAAAAGATGGTTACAATAGCTTCTGAATCTGCACCCTAAAGCTTGCATTCAGAGGGTGGATCACAAATTGAAAGGATGGGTTTACAGGGTTTACAGTGTGACACCAAGGCATATAGACACACAGTTCAAATCCACTTGAAGGGGACATTCCTAAAAAAATGGAGCATATGAAATGGAGCCTCTTTAGAGTTGTTTAGCTAAAGGATGGGTGTCTTCAATGGGAAAACAAACTGTTGTCACCAACCACTCTTATGAATTTTGTAGAAAAGCCAAGAGAAGATGAAAAAAAAAAACGGGGGGAGGAGGCGGAGAGATAAATAATTATAAAAGAGAAGATGATCAGTTCAAGATGCTCACTGGTCTTCCAGCAGATGGTCTTCAGAGGATGGCTAATAGCCAAAGATCCCCATGATTTCCAAGCCACCAGAATTACCTTGAGAGAAGATGGACAGTCTATACATTTTATAAATAAAATAAAACTGTTCTAAATATTTTCTGAAGCCAATCAACCTGGTGGCCAGCACAAAATTTCATTGCAGCAGATTTCAAAGTTCAATTGTGTGTTGTATAAAAATAATAATAATTTTTGTCTGCCTGATTCTTCCAGGATTCAATTTTATTGGTTACCTAGATTCTAGAATGTTCTGAAAGCAGAAATGACTTTTCCTTTTCCACTTCTCCTTGTCCACATTATGAATTTATTTTGTACAATGACCATAAAGGCTATAGAATAATGATGCGTAATGCACCTCAAATAACCTTCCCCTCTCATTTGTTTGCTTTCTAGACTAAAAAGGCCCAAATGTTACAACCTTTCCTCATGAGGAAGTCACTGCAGATCCCTTGATCATCTTAGTTGCTGTCTTCTGAGATTTCTCTAGTTCTATATATCATTTCTGATATACATAAACATGAAATTCACATAATATTTTAGCCACAGTTGCTCCACTGATTTATATAATGGCATTATATGACTGGCATCTATATTTTTTTTTCTTATCCCCCTAACATACTGTTGGACTTTTTTTTTTTTTTACAATGGGAGCATATAGTGTTGACCACTGAATTATGTTTAACTATTACATTGTACTGTAGAGTTATACATAAAGGAAATAATAGAATAGCAAAAAATGCATCAATTAAAAATATCATTCAGCAAGCAAAAATGCCACTAAATTGTCTAAAGGTTGGCAGTGAAAGTCAATAAAAAAGATAAAAGTAAAGGTTTCCTTGTCAGTTGTGTCTGACTCATCTCTCTTCCTTGGCCAAGAGAACTAGTGTTGTCGAAAGACAATTTCGGTGGTCATGTAGACCAGCTCCCAGAATGCTGTTATACTTTCTCATCAAAGTGGTACTTATTAATCTTGTGTTTGCATGCTTTCAAACTGCTAGGTGGGCAGAACTAGGGCAATTAATGGGAGCTAACATGTACTATTTCAAAAAATAATTTGGGTGCCACAATTGAGAAGGGCTTTCTGCTTCTACCCGGATATCACAAAAATGGTTCTCTATAGCAAAGCAAGATTAATTGGACAGATTAATTTCACATAAGACAATTTATAAGGCATCCTGGCACCTTATAAAATCTCAACCTCTTTTTGCACAGAAAATTATATCCAATAGTGCTTTCTATCAGTTTTGAAAAAAAGAATTAAACACGCATCGAATATGTTTAATTATTTTAAATAAAATTCCATAAATTTTGTTAAAATAATCAAATTATCACTGTTATCACTGTTCCGTCCAATTATAGTGTTTCTGCAGACATACTCTTCTGTCCTTTTAGCATTTCAAATAGCAGTATTCTGATCTTCTAATTCTGCCCAGAAGGCAAATGGCCACAATTTTACATCAAGTATTTATACTGTTTCAACGGCGGTCTATAAAGATATCTTGACCTAATCCAGTATGAAGTTAATTAAGCAAATCAACAATTATTTGGAATGAGAAAGGCAAATTCTAAAAAAATTTTTTTAGTTCCAAATGGTTATCTTTAAAAAAAAAATGGAATCTGTACAGATAAAGCTGTCATTTTCTTTTGGCTTATGATAAGGAACATCAATATATTGTACCATCACTATAACCTAGATTTAATACCTAGTTTGCCCTTGTAAAAGCATCTGGAATATGGAATGATTGAACTTATCCCAAATAATAATGGTGGTATAAATTTTTTTGAAACAAAATACATAAATCATGGGCCAACAACAGTTGAAACAAAGAAAAGCTGTCTAGAATTTTATCCTACAATTTATGAATCTAATTCATAACTTACCTACTACAGGTTCCTAAAGGAGTCTTCAAGCTATTTGGGTTCCGAATCATTTTATCTAGAATGCCCACAATCTGTTCAAACTTTGGCCTTTCTGCACGTTCTTTCTGCCAGCAGTCTAGCATCAGCTGGTGAAGGCCTGCTGGGCAGTCCATGGGCGCTGGCAAACGATACCCTTCTTCAATTGCTTTTATAACCTAATAACAAAACCCGCCATGAGTTTAAATTTTTACAGCTCATGAAGAATACACCAAATTAAACAACATTTTATGAAACGTATCTTTCAAATAGAACCTACTGTTCTAGCACAAGAATTTCTGTTGTTGTATAATATTGTAAACTTGTTTTTATTGTCCATGCCTATTAAACAGATTATAGTGATAATCATGCATATAGTGTACTGAGAACATAGCTGCATTACCTAGTCAAATCAGCAGGAGGGAATAGCAATTAAATTCACCATGGGTGCAACTGAGAAACTGATACATGAGATACTCTTTGAAAGCAATATTTATTTGTCCAAGAGGCTCTTTTTGGCAGGGAAACAAAGCATGATTAAACAGTCTGTGTATACATCTAGGTATCTATAACTAGATGAAAATGAAATGGATAGATGAATGAAAATTAGTGTATAATGGAAAAGAAAAGAAACTGCTTTCCCATGATGACCTTCTCAACAGCAGTCCAAACTAGATGTGAATCTAATCAACGATTTGACTATAGGAAGTTTGAGTGAACTGTTTAGTATCAAAACATAGTGTAGGCCAACATAATTTCTCAAGGATCAGTTAAGCCACTATTATTTTTTGCAGCATTGATTTGTTGATGTTGAAGAAAGAAAAAGAAAATAACCAAAACAAAACCAGAGAAGAGGGTCAGAAGAAACTTTTGTTAAGTTCATACAGCACTGATAAGCCAAAGTGTGGTTTTATAAAAAAAATACCAACACAATGGGCAAAACAGCATTCCGTTGATAAGACAAAAACGTCTTGTTCTATAAATTTTTGCAGACATCTTTGGGCAAACCCATTAGTGGTTTCCTCTGGAATTACAACACAAAGGTGGTGTGACAGGTAACAAATATAAGCCAAGCATAATTTTTAAGAAGAGTTTTAGACACTTCCTGAGCCAATAAGATCAATATTTTAAATGGGAAACTTTATGTAAATAAATTATCAGTAGTAATAAAGAGGGCCTTGTGGCACATTGGCTACATGACATAAACAATAACCAACAATCCACCTTTCTCCTTCACACTTGCTTCTTACTTTCATTTTGGAAATAATAACATTATTATATCAGTTGTGAAACATGTAAACTATCTATCTGTCTGTCTGTCTGTCTGTCTGTCTGTGTATGTATGTATGTATATGTATATGTGTGTATATGTATGTATGTATATGTGTATATATATATATATATATATATATATATATATATATATATA